CTAGATGGATTTGAAACAGCTTTTTAAAGGATTGTTTTAAATGTCTAAGAAAATACAGTAAATGATTTTGGATTTAACTTCAAGAAAAACTGTCCTGGAAAAGTTTTGGTTCTGAAAATAAACACCAGATAAGACTGAGCTTTGAAGGTTAACTAGAGGGAACCACAGAGCAATTAAAGGAAAAGATATCTTTTAACACAATAGGGAAGTATCCTTTCAAAGAAGAACTATTAGCTGTTTGGAATCAATGTGTCCAGGAACTATTTCTAAAATTGGGATTAACAGAGGTTGTAGAAGAAGAAAAGATTTCATTGGATAAAACAGAAGTTGAGGACAACTTGAATAAAGACTTTAAAGAAATGCCAGATTATAAGAGAGACATGGAAGATATGGAAAAAGATACTGTGGATCTGAAGATGGACTCAATGTAGCTTGATTATGAGAATGATATGGAGGAAGAAGCTGTAATGGATCAGAAGAGTATCTCTGAGAGCTATTCAATTTTGGACTCACAACTGGGAAACACCAACTCTCTGAAACCTTTTCTGAAAATAGACAGGGAGAGAATGATAAGAGATTACTATCTGGGGTTTTATTTGGAGAAGAGACTGAAGATTGAGCCTTTCAAAAAGAAGAGAAAGAAATTCAAAGCAGATCTATCAGATCAGGGTTTTGATCTTGGATTGTTAGTATTTAATTTTCTTTTTCTGACCAGGACTGTAAGACAATGATTTATACCTGTAAAAGCAATTTATTTAGTTTAGTTTAAAATACGTATGTTATTATTATTGGTCTTTTGTATGCTTAAGGGGAGAGATCTTTTAGGTTTTACTTTTTAGAAAAAAATTAGAGGTTAAAATGCAAAATAGAGCTATTTGTTTAAGCTTAAAATATATAGTTTATTATTACTGGCACTCTTAATGCTTTTGCTGATTAGATTGATTGTTGAATATTTTTTATAATTTGGTTATTGTTTAGGGAAGGGGAAGGGGATGAAGAGGGCTTTTTTTCAGTAATATTAGAGAAGGTGTTAAGTTACTGTTAATGTATTTGTTTGGAGGGAGGGGTCTTTTAGGTTTTACTTTTTAGAAAAAAATTAGAGGTTAAAATGCAAAATAGAGCTATTTGTTTAAGCTTAAAATATATAGTTTATTATTACTGGCACTCTTAATGCTTTTGCTGATTAGATTGATTGTTGAATATTTTTTATAATTTGGTTATTGTTTAGGGAAGGGGAAGGGGATGAAGAGGGCTTTTTTTCAGTAATATTAGAGAAGGTGTTAAGTTACTGTTAATGTATTTGTTTGGAGGGAGGGGGAAGTCATCTTTTATATTTCTTTTTCTCTTTCTTTTTCTTTTTGTCTGTAGGTCTTTTAGTTTTGCATTCATTTTTATATATATAAACTTTAATAAACTATTACCAAAAAAAAAGAAATTAACAATATTGTTTGTATCCCTGGAGCAACAGATGACCTGTTAATTTTCTAAGGCAGATAAGAACTGAACCAAGTTATTTACTCTGAAATCAATACCTGGAAAATTTTAGAGCAGATCAAAGAGCAGTCAGGCTGCAAGTACACTGAACACAATGTCCTAAGCACCGGAAAACAACAGAGTTACCAAGAACAACTCTTGCTAAAGTGATCTCATTTTTTAAATTTAGGTGACTTCCTTAATATATTGTAGGAATGCCATAGATTCAGCATGTTGAAATTCCTCTTCAGATAAAGGGGAGGACCTGGGATTGTCCACAAGCGCTCCATACAGAGGCTCCCTGCGACGAGACCATAAAACAGTGGTCTCTGGTGGGTTTTAGGCTCTGGGAGCCGAGGGAAAGTCAGCTTTGCCCAAGCCATGGTTCGGAGCCTTCAAACAAACAAGGGGTTCACCCACTTCCTTTCTTAATCACTTCCAGAAATTGCTTGTTAACTGCTTTTTGGATATTAAGAAACTTCAGAATGACAAGTTTTATTACACCGGATGATTCTCCTTCAGTCCTCAGCGAAAGAAGTTTCATGCAAGTTTAAGAACTTAAACAAAAAAAATTATTCTAAAATAAACAGCAAAAGGTGATTAGAATGTTGATTTTGGAAAATTATAAATGGACTAAGGAGCCAGATGGATTGGAAATGAAAGGAATATGAAATTGATTTATTTGATTAAGATTAAAATATATGTTATTATTTCTGGTAACTCTTAATGGCCTTTGCCGATTAGGACTGAATGATGAGGCTTTATAATTTGTTTATAGATAAGAGATGAGTTATGGGAAGAAGAGATCTTTTGTTGAAAGGTTAGAGAAGGTGATAAGTTACTGAAATTGTTTGTACTTGTGTTGATGAAGGGGGAAGTCATTTCTTTATATATCTTTTTTCTTTATATCTTTTTTCTTTTCTTTTTCTCTGCACTTTTTTTTATTTTTACTTTTTTTATTTTTCTTAGTTTGTATTAGTTTTTTATCTTTGTATTTTTAAAAATTTTAATTAAAAATTCATTCCACCAGTGACTCCAAATCACTCTACTAAAAATTAAACCAGTTTGTTAAACTGCTGCTGAAATTAAACCACTTTTCTGCAGTGTAATATGAGGAAGTTCAGGGGCCGCATACAACCATTAAGGATATCCACCCCTCACTTAGACAATGGGGTTAGAATATCAAAATGAAATATATGAAATATAACAGATACAGTGGTACCTCGGGTTATGAATTTAATCCATTCCGTGACTGGTCGCAACCCGATTTGTTCGCAACCCGAAGCAAATTTTCCCATAAGGTTCAATGTAATTACCGTTAATCCGTTCCGGTGTCCGCGGACCACGTGTCAAGGGCGGAAAAACGGCCGCGGACCGCGCGGCAGGGCGGAAACACGGGCGCGGACCACGGGGCATGGGCGGAAAAACGGCCGCGGACCACACGGCAGGGCAGAAAAACGGCCGTGGACCGTGCGGCAGGGCGGAAAAATGGCCGCGGACCACGTGGCATGGGTGGAAAAATGGCCGCGGACCATGTGGCACGGGCGGAAAATGGCCGCGGATCCGGTTCATACCCCGAGGCGGAGTTCGCAAACCGAGGTAAATTTTTGCGGCCAGAGCTGGTCGCAACCCGAAAAGTTCGTAAGCAGAGGCGTTCGTAACCCGAGGTACCACTGTACATAAAATTATGCACTTAGGAAACAGAAATCAAACGCACAGTAAAAATGGGTAATACCTGTAAAACATGTAAAAAAATCTTGGAACAGCTCTTTACAAACTGAATCTAAGTCAGCATTGTAATATGGCTGCAAAACAAGACAAATGCAGTTTTAGACTGTATCAACAGAAGTAGGGTTTACAAATAATCAGAAGTAAAATGTTCCACTTTAGTCTATGTTTGTCAGTCTCCACCTAGAGTAATCTGTCCAGTTCCTGGCACCATGCTAAGAAGAGTTCAGCCAAACTGGAAGAAATAAGAGTACGAAGGGTGAGAAACAGTCCTATAAAGAGAGACTGAAGGAGGTGGGCATGTTTAGCCTTGAGAAAAGACCAAGGAATGATAGCACTCTTGAAGTACCTAAAAGCATGTCATACAGAAAATGGTCAAGACTCATTTTATATCACCCAGAGTATGGGACGCTGAACATTGGATTTAAATTTAAAAAAAAAAACTTGCTAGCAGCAAGAGAAGTTTGAGAGGGGAAGCAATTAACCAAAGAGGTGGCAGCCTTCCCTTTGTTGGAGACGTTCAAGCAAAGGCTGGACAGTGATCTGCCAAAGATGCTTTAATTTGGACTGCTACACTGAGCAGCAGATTGGATTAAATTGCCTAAATGGCCACTTCCCACTTTAAAAGTGTCAGAATGAGCTGTCTGGCTTTTCGGGTGGGATGGGGAATCAGAAAATGAGAACAAACTGAAATCTATGCAAAGTATCCACCTTGGGAAATTTTTTTAAAAGGGGGCTGACCTGTGAATATGAATGTGAATCACCGACTAATATGAATGAGGCGTATTTTTATATCAGTTTAGTTATGGAGTCCATAACATTAAATATTCGTACACATGGAGAGAATTGGGTGTAATACATGCAATCTGCATGTTGGAGTTTTCCAAAGAGAACAGAATGGTAATATCAAAAAGCCAAGTTTTTATTTCTGCATATAGAAAAAAAAGGCAAGATATTAGTCAAATTCTTAAATTTATCCCACAAGTTCAAATATGTAGTAAAATGTTTTCCTACCCATGTAGCTGCAAACTGTTATGTGTAGTCCACTTTTTCCATATATCAATGTTTTTTCTCAGCGTTCCATCTCCACTGAAAGAGACATTTCTGCATTAATTCCAAGGAAGTATGGAAAGTTATGTTCTATGCTAGCTGCAATATTACATTTTTATTTGAGCAGGTTGAAAGTAATGCATTTTTAAATTCATCATAAGTGTATTTTTTTAAAGTTAATATTGTTTTATTGTGTTATTATAAAACACATACAATGGGGAATACACATCAAAAGGAATGTGCTAGCATCAGCTGTTTGCCTGCTTACACTCTTATAAACCCTTCCTCTCTAATGAATGTAAATATAAACATTAATTCCCTTCTTGCTAATTACCCGAGCACCAGGGTGAGCATTCCAAACGGTGGGGCAGTCAGGAAAAAAGGACAGTTGAAGCAAAATCGTAAGCAGAGTTACAGTCACATGATTTTCCACTTAGCGACCACATCACTTACAGGTAGTCCTTGCTTAATGACCACCCATTCAGCAACTGTTCAAACTTATGACAGTTCTGAACAACTGGTAGTTTCAATCAGTCCTCGAACTTATGACTATCACAGCACCCCCATGGTCTCATGATCACAAACTGGGCGCTTGGCAGCTGGTCTGGATTTACGACCACCATAGTGTCCTCATGTCACATGATTTCCGACCTTCCCTGACAGCTTCCCACAAGCAAAATCATAGGGAAGTCAGAAGTCATGATCCCATTAAGTGTGGTCCTCACTTAATGACCCATGGAGATTCGCTTAACAATGGCAGCTGGGGACTGCCAGGATTGCCGTTGCTAAGCAATCCAGTCATGTGACATCGCACTTTACGACATCGCTTAGCAATGGAAATTTTGGACCCAATTACCGTTATTAAGTGAGCACTACTTGTAGTGACCGAGTTGCTGGTTCCAATTCTGGTTGCTAAACGAGAACCACCTGTACCATCTGCAGAACATTTTATACCAATTTTCCTTTAAATTATAACTTGGTGTAATGTTCTTATATTTACTCCATAATTCTTCCCATTGTTGTGTCGCAAATGTTTTTTTTTATAATTTTGCATCCATTTTATCATACAGTTCATATTTGCTGTCTTAATGCTGGTAACAACTAGCATTAGAAAAGTATGCCACAAATAGCAATACTGGCTTAAAACTTAACATAGTTTAACCTACCTGCAAGGAACATCACATAATATTCTGTCATAGAAGAGGATCTCTTTTTTCCCATTTGTACTAATCTGTATATTAGGGATACTTGAGGCATCATGATTTATAACCATGATGCAAGGACTGTTCAACCGCTTTGCCTGATGAACTAGCAGATAGCAACGTTTGTTATCAACATCATTTGCAATTACAAATCCCTCTAGGAAAAAAAATAGAAAATCTTCCGGTTAACAAAAAATCACTTGGGAGGTTGGAAGGATTATTTTTTCAATAATAATTAGTCCAGATAAGATCAAAATATTAACTAAATGTAGTCAAGAAAATATAATTCAAAAAATATTTTATAGAGTTACCTTTTATTTATAACATTTTTATGCTACCTTCTCACAGGACTCAGGGTATTGTACAAAACAATTAGTATAGAACAAAACCTGGCAACTTCTTATATAAAATTAATTTAAAGCACAACTGATAGTCACCCAATATTCATAACTGGGTGTCAAATGCTAATTTTAAAAGTATGGTTTCTAATGCTTTCCTGAAAGCCAGCCATGTTGAGGCCAAGCACACCTAAAAGAGCAATGTAGCCATAGAATAAAGACTGTCTTCCGGTCCATATCCAAACACTTAGGATCATTTTATTCCACAGGGCATATGAGTGCTAGTGGTGATAGGGCTGCAATTCAGTTAGGGTTTTAAATTCTGGTTATTGGGGTTTTGTTTTGTTTTGTTTGTTAGCAAATTGGATTCTAGCATATGTATACAGTATATTTCCATTTTTCTCTATTGTTCTGTAAATTGCCTTCAGTCCAAGTGTAACAGACAATACACAAATGGTATAAAATGAGAATATTAATATAGTAATATGGACAGAAAAAACTGGATAGGACCAGGAAATCACAAGAAGAGGCTAACATCCAATTTGTAGAAAAATGAGTATGCAGAGAAAATGGTGACAGAGAAAACTGGAGGAAACCAAAAATTAATCAAAAATTCTAAATCTCGTCCTTTCATGTGGACAAAACACTTGTAAGAGAAGACATTCCCTCAAATGACAATTTGGATCCAGTATGACCAAAAATGATGAAAATAATGAACACACACACACACACACACATTTTATTATTAAAATGTATATGGCAGGATGCCCCATATGATAGGTGTGAATAGCAGGTGAATTCCATAAACAAACAGCAACCAGGTGGTGGTATCAAAAGCAAGTCTTTAATTGCAAAAAAGATAGCCACAGCATTTATCATCTAGTATCATGTGGTTTTTAAGGCTCCCTTTATATCTCCCTAACACAACCCCTTAAAAGCATGACTTATGCCCTTGGCTTTAGTAATACTCTGTTGGGGAGTAAACTGGGGACCAAAAGCTCTAGTGCAAGATCAGTGCTGAAATGTGAAAGGATTCTGAGAGGAAGTCAACATTAAATTTAATAAATCTGATTGTATTTCTCAGCACAAACCATAATTAAAATTCATTTATTACATTCTTTTATGCTGTTCAATCTGGATAACTCAATTAATATTTTCTCTCACTCACCTGGAAAAGGAACACTCATGTCTGCATGCAGCATCTCAATAAGCTGGGCGGTCTTGGACCCAGGTGCAGCACACATATCTAGAATCTACCAAGATTAAGTTGTTTAACAGAAAGAGAGGGTTATTAATATTATTTAATGTACTCAAAGCATATCTGCTTAAATATATTATTATTTGTAGAGAGATTTGGGAATGAAATCAACAGAATTAAGGATGTTGCATCTAGCAGGATAGTATTAAGTTCTCAAAGACATTACACATTTTTCAGTTAAAGTACACGCATTCTAATTCTGATTTAGCCATTACAGCTGAAAACAAGTATCTCCAAGAAAGAGAATCACAGGGATTCAAGTAAGTTTTGAAAGGCACCTGTTCAGATGATGTTTGCAGAATCCACATATTATTTTTTTAAGCTTAAAATGACCAAAATATTGTGAGATCACCCAATATTCTGTGAAATTTCAGCAAATATATTATTATATAAGTGTCTGACACCTGAAAAGGTTGTCTCCTGGTTTAGAAATTGTATGGAAAACTGCCTTTCTCTCTACCGTCTCATAACACAGAAAAAGACAACATTGAGAAAGGAGGCAAGAAGTGGAAAAAAGGAAAAGTTTGGGGTACATTTTTTTCTGTCTTTTAGGGGGATAAAACAAGATAGGAAGGTGGCAACAGGTATACTGGAAAATTCCAGCCCCCTAGAGCACTACATTTTTTAAAGAATCTGAATATGAAATTGTACTTTATATTAAGGGTAGGGGGAAAGACAGACGGTATGTGTTTCAACACATGGATAATACAAATATAAAAATGAAATATATTAATGTGTAAATGGTTAAATCATGGAAAAGATAAGACAAGTGGAAACTCTTAGGTTTAGATATTTAAACCACAGAGATGTCTACATTACATTCTATTCTTCTACACTGAATGTTTATTAACCAAATTAAAAAAAGAATATTCAATACAAATGTACAGTATTAAGTATCAATATATATGTTCCTTTACGCTTTTCCTCCAAAATAATTTCAGATATCATAATATAAGAATACCTTATGATGAGGCTGAATATTAAGAAGCAATGGAGGGATCATACTGACAGCTTCCTGACGGCTAATATTCCCCTAAAACAAAATAAATACAGTAAACAATTCCAACTTCATTTTATATTTATGTACATTAAAGAAAACATAAAACATATCTGCTCAAACGATATACTTAAATTTAAGATAATCCCCCTGAATGAGACACTTCCAGAAAATTCCAAAGTTATAGAGTAGACTGATCAGTTAAAAAGAAATCTCTAAGCTACTGTACTTCTAAGTTAACAGCAAGCTACTTCCATATTGCTGCCAAGAAAACTACACAGATGTATCCATGAAATGACTAAGAGATGAGCTCAACTTGTAGAGATGTCAAAATAAAAGTGAGCAGAAATAAAGTTTTATGCAACATTTTCAATACAAAATGACCATATTTCATTGTCATATCCACATATAATAAACCCCTGTAAACAACTCATAAATCACAAGTATCAGGTCTTCAATCCACTGAGTAACCGGGGCCATAAATTTATTTTTCCAATGCTGAAGGACATAGAAAGGATGTGGAAAATTCATTTCCATTGCCCAGCCATCAATTTACATGTAACAGATAGTAGTTCAAAAGAATATGGATGTTCTCAATATGAAATCCTCTCTCAAAGTCAAATTATTGTTTATAATTACATCTGTCCAGAACAAAACTTCATGACATCTCAAAAATAGAGATTTAATGAAGCGTTATTCTCAAAAAGGCTATCTCCTACTATGAACAGGCCATATTCTGATAGCCAGAAATCTAAGACGTTTAAGTACTAATATCAACAAAATCTCTTTTTTTTAAGAGTTACAGTTCACAGGGCTGAGATTCAAAAAATAACATGCAGCATGCTTTTTCACTGGTTCTAAAGAAAAGATACTTCAGCACTGTTCCTATCCCAAACTGATCAGAAACATGAAAGAAGGTAACTTGCCCTCAAACTCTGAATAAACAATTTCTTGAATGCAAGAGATCGTATGAAGCCCACAATGAAAAATAAAAACAGCAATGAACAAGTTAATACTTACACATTCAGTTTCACTAACAAGAAAGTGATGAAATTTTTCTAGCTGTGGAGATTTCCGCAAGACTTTTCGGTTTAGATTTGTATGCCATGCCAACTCCTCTGGATACCTAATAAAATAAAGCACCTTTGAATATAATATCCATAGAATCTCTGAACTGGCATAAGAGAACATGCAACTGCATTTTAAACTGAATGCACATGAATTCATTTCAATGTATAGTGGTACCTTGGTTCATGGATGCTTCTGTTCACGAACAATTCGGTTCACGAACAGCTCCGTTCGCAAAATTTTGCCTCCGTTCGCGAACGCCGGATCGGGTTATGTACAGGATCTGCGGCCATT